TCCTGTTGCTTTAATGAAACCTAAATTACTGAAGCACTTTTCTTCTGAAAAACATTACTCTTGCCTATAATGACGTTGCACTGCATATTCTCCTCTAGAATAAAAGAGGAAAAAATAATTAAGGTAGAAAGAAATGTGAATCACAGTTCTAACAGGGAAATGCATGTGCTATGCCCTTGATGTAAACAGCTGTTTGTATACCACCTACCTTCCTCCTTCAATAAAGCATAATCCAGCTTTATGACTTACCAGGCATCCATTACCATTCTTATGCATGGGATTTTTTCCCCCACAATGATTCTCTTTTTAGCTATCTGAAACAAATTATTTAGAATAATTTAMTCACTGTGTTTTAAATGGAAATCTTGCTTGAGGAACATTCCCTATTTAGGAGCAGAATTTTGCGTTTACATACTGTTCAATTTCTGTTTGATAAAGAGTATAATGGCATTATGTCGAAGCATTACGTAGAGTTAGGGTTTTTTTTTTTTTTTCACAGCCCTAAGTCTCAAGAACACTTTTAAAAGAAGGGAAAGTGTTAGCCTATGACCTTTGACAAATCTAAAGGTCAAATATCCCAGGTGAGAAAGGTTCAAAGAAAGCCACTGAGGCTGCAATGCTTCATCTGCACAGGTTACAGAGCAGCCCATGGTGCCATAGCTGCTCTCAGCCCATTAACACAACGAACAAATCCTAATTAATCATATGTATGGATTGCCATGTCCTGCATATACCTTCACATTTTGTGCTCACAGGCGATTGGGTATTTTTCTGCTAACATGCAGAAAGATTTTACAAGAGCATCTTTGTCTCAGATCATTTYAGTGCAATCAGCAATTCTTTCTATTATTTCCAAATCTCAGAGCTCACGTGGTGGTAATGCAGGTTTTGTAGAGCAGCTCAGACAAAATGCACAAGTTCTCTTGAATAACAGGGCTCCCTCCACTGTTTTCCTTTGCAGTAACTCAGTTTATAGCATGAATAACATTACTTCACATGGATATCATAAGGATATCCTCTAGCTTCCAATTTGCATGTACATTTATTTTACAGTACCTTAGAGTTAAAACAACCCAACAATATAATAAAGGTAAGTGCACAGAATAATAAATACCATTGAAACCATATTAACTCAGAAAAACATCAAAAAGGGAGAGAACAAAATTAGGCTGTGAAATTAGGTTAAAAAAAAGTTGCAGAAGCTCTATGGGGTTGTTTGTTTTTTTTTAAAGAAAGCCTCAAACATAGTCACACTGTAACCTACCTGCTTATATTTTACAAATGGGGTGCCAAGTCCAGGCAACTTCAGAACTCTGCACCCATGAAAATGAATGGCAGCACTGCATGACATCAACTAGAAGAAAATCAGGCCATGTGAGAACCTTCTGKTTTTTTCTATAGTGCATAATATTACTGCATGCTGTTTTCTACTCACATTTCTGTGAGCTGTCAGTATGCTTGCATGATTATGATATAAAGCTAGCAAATGTTTTAATTCAAATATTACAAACTAGAGAGAAGTCAGATAAAACCAGAGATTTTTTTATTGCACAAAATAAATTATATAGAAACAATGCAACAAAACAACTCGTATTGTAGGCTGCACAACAGATGTTACAACATGAATATATTTATTGCTTTGAGAAAGGAGCAATTCAGTGCTAGTAAGCAGATTAGTTATACTTCTTGCTCATCTAGATTTTTCATAAAATTAATCCAACTGGGCTAGAGGCATCTTGCAGCATACRGGTCAGGCCAAATTGACATTTGTTATCAACCATTATAAAGGTGCTGTAAAGCTTCTTGACATTAGCATGAAACACTCAACATCACCAGTACTGAGTCATACAGGTAGTTCACTGTTAGAAATATAATTACACACCTGATACATTTATACACAAGGTTCTAGAGACCCATTTACAGGATTTGCATGAGCTGTTGTTTCAAAATAAATCTTGCTTACAAATGTTGATGCAGATTTGCACAGGTTTCACTCTACATCAAGAGGCACGACCAYGGGGTTTGGCGAAAAACCGCCAAGTACTGGCACTTGTCCTCACTAATTGTAAAACTCATCACTAGTGCTGACTCAGTTGTGTCTCATTTTTTCTAGGGCCGCACTCAGCTTCTAGATTAAAAAAACCCTCACATTCCTTTGGTAGAACTGGGTGAAATTTACAGTGCTTTTTTAAATACTTCAAAACAACATATTTGGTTCTTGAAAAGACACAAGCCTGCAGTACTGGTATTGCACTCAGATCAAATGGATTTTAGTTTTTAAACTGCTACTTTGTGGACCCTGAGATGTTGACCCTAATGAATTACTACAGAAATYAGCTCTTAACAAAAAATTATAAAAATGAACAATGTTCATATGTAATAATACACATCAAATCCTCATCAACTGCAGATCTTTGAGAAGCATGAACATAAATGAGAGAATGCCATTTCAAGCGTTCATAATCTGAGTCAAATTTTCCCCCAAATTGTCAAGGACACAAGCATTTACCCAGTTGAGTTCCTACCAATGAGTTCTACTGCTAGTGTACACACTCACTATTGCAAAACTTACTTATGAGAAGGTTCATATAATAAGAGTAAATATAAACAATATTAGTCACCCATAAAAGGAAATTAAGTGAGGAAGTGGGAAGTCTGGCTCATTTCAAGTCTCAGCTACAAGGATAATTACAGAAAGTCACTTCACTGAGGTCCAGCTGAAGAACTTAACTGAGCATCAGACCCATGGAGTAGAGCCCTGTAGAATCCCACTGAAATAAGARATTTTGGATTGTACACTAATAACTGCAAACCAATATGGTTGCCACTCTTTACTGTACTTTAATAAAATCCTTTACTGCATTTTTCCCCGAAACTGTGTTAATGCATTATGATGAATCACAACAGTTGAAAGTGAGGTTGCAAAGAGCTGCAAAATATTACAAGAAGTGAATTATTCTGGATTTAAAAAATAGTATTTGCACAAATTCTCAGAAACTTCAGTGATGCAATCATGTTCCACACATGTACCCAGCAATATTTTCCTTAGAAAGAAGGTAAGCACTAAACTTGACTGATCTTACATACTTTTTCATCCAGGGGACTGTTTATTAAATACTGCATGTAAAATTCTATCATCTTCTCATAAAAATGTTAGTAAGCACAGTAAGATTCAACTAAACAACCAGATATACCCTGACATGTCCATTGAAGCACATACATTACATAAAATTGTTAGCATTTTTTGTACTTGTTATGAAGTAGAAAAGTTATAAGGCAGGATGAAGCTAATATCAGAGATGAAAAACAGCACCACAAGCCTGTGTTTTGCAATTGCTTTCTGATTGGACACAAAATATATTATCATAGTCAGATACAATTGTTTAAGGTGAGAAATGCATTTAGCCCAGCTGTACTAACTATACAGCTTCACACAGAATAAACATTCCATAAACCAACAGAAAATGCATTTGAGCACAAAAAATAAAAATGTGATTCTCTAAGCAGCATTTTGTTTTCTTTTTTTTTTTTTTTTTTGTTTTCTTTTTTTTTTTTTTTCTCCAAAACATTAACATAGATAGATATTGGACTGATTAAATATCTACAAGTGCTTTTCCTTTACAAAAATACATATATTCTTAATAGTAGGATAGACTGTCATTAACAATGACCTGTGTTTTTTTCACTTCAATTTGAATGATTTATAAGCTAAATTTTACAACCACAAAAAGGTTTATTTGTAATAGGATGTTATCACTTTTGACAAAAAGCTTAAAACATTTTATATTTTAAAACAAATTCGCAACTTAAGATCACAATATGTTCTATGAGCTCTAAGTACTGTGAGGGCTGCTTTATTAAAAAACTGGTAACTACTGATCAAATGCAAGGAAGCATTAGAATGTTATTACTGCTCACCATAGGCTCCTTTCTTATAACTTGGATCACAGCTTATATAAGGACACTTAGGCCCCCACCCCCAAAAAATCCATTGAGAGTAACCCTATATCATCTATTCAGTAGCCTGGAACATCCAGCAATTCAGGCTTTGCATTAATTTTTAAAAAATKCAAAATATTTTCCTTTCAATAGTTAAGTCTGCAATAAGGGAAAAAATGATGCATTGCTTCATGTTTATGCTGAGAAGCATCTATTTGAGGAAAAAAATACGATCAGTATTTAGAATTAAATCTTTCAGCCAGCTTAGTTATTAAATTGACCTATTATTTCCAGTTTAGTTAATCACTATCCTGGAAAAAGAAATCAAGATAATTTGGAATTTTTGTTATCTCTGTTTTATACTGCACAAGTAAATTATCACTTCTTGCTAATCAATGGTCTCGTGTCAAGGACAGCAATGCCATTTGCTAAAAAAATAGCTATAAAAATCTGTAAAACATACTTAAGATCTTCTCATTATTCACCAAGTCTGTCCTTTCCACCCTCCGAAATATTACTGAACTACGACTAGAAACCCCAAAAGTAGCTTGGTGACTGTTTTGTGCTTTGGAAGGTTTACAGGATTGACAGCACACTGAGTTTTTTTGTTAGKTCACAGGCCAGGTATAGCAGACACATCAGTAAATGCAAGCCTTTGTGCTTCTCCTCAGGAACATGAGCTAGGACCCAGAGCTACTCTACGTCTGTTATCTCAACCTTTATGCTATTCCTGTTGGTTTTTTTCCTTTTCTTATTTGTTTTGGAAACTGCTAGGTGTGCCTAACCCTTTAGCTTGGTGACACAGACACCACCACTGCTTCAGTTCTGCTTGACTGACTCCAGCTGTACCTCCTGACCACTCAGGAAAAGTGTCAATGTCATATTCCAAGTCTGTTTCTGGGTGGCTTTACCTTTGGTATTAAATAGGTCCCTTGAAACTATTAGGCAATCAGATTATCCATAAAAATAGATAATT